ACTGTTTTGCTTATTTGAGACTTGTGTCGTTCTGATTCTCGTTCCTACTGGGTTGTCCGAATCATAACAAATATCCTTATTATCACAGTTGTCAAAAATTCTAGAAAAACTATTTGTGACCAGATTAGATAAATTTATTACTAAACAAAACATTCTAAGTGGCAGTCAGTATGGGTTTAGAGCAAAAAACTCTACATCGATGGCTCTCATGGAAATAATAGAACAAATAACTACTGCTGTCGATCAAAAACAGTATTGTGTTAGTATTTTTGTTGATTTAAAAAAAGCATTCGATACTATTGACCACACTATTCTCCTTGAAAAATTAAATAAATATGGTATAAGAGGACCAGCATTACACTGGGTATCTAGCTATTTAAAAGATAGGAAACAGTTTGTACAAATAAATGATGTAAGATCTGACCTCTGCAATGTCACTTGTGGAGTTCCTCAAGGCTCTGTACTTGGACCAAAGTTATTTATTTTATATGTGAATGACCTAGTAAATGTATCAGGACTCCTCAAATGTGTCCTTTTTGCAGATGACACCACATTTTTTTGTTTGGGTAAAGATGTAAAACGGATGTTGGAATTGATGAAGACAGAATTTGATAAAATACAAACTTGGTTTAAACTTAATAAATTATCATTAAATATAGATAAAACTAAATACATGACATTTAGTAACAAAAAGAAAACTGTTGATGATCCATTTAAAATTTAGGGTGTTGAGATTTGTAGAGTTAATGAGATGAAATTTTTGGGTGTAATCATTGAACAGCTAACATGGAAAAATCACATCAATTCTGTAAGAACAAAAATATCTAAATCTATTGCAGTACTATACAAAGTCAGGGAATTATTAAATGATAAAGCTCGGTACATGTTGTATAACACAATCATTGTTCCACATTTAATCTATTGCATTGATGTTTGGGGGAAAGCGTGTAAAACATTTACAAAACCTATTTTTATTTTACAGAAAAGAGCTGTAAGAATTATCACCAGAAAGCATTACAGTCACCCATCAAGCACATTATTTTATCAACTGAAGTTATTAAAGTTCCATGATTTGGTAGATTATAGTATTTTATCAGTTATGTATAGGGCTCAAAATAACACATTACCGTTAAATATTCAAAGAAATTTTGTTAAAAGACAAAGTTGTTATAATCTTAAGAGATATTTGTCAAACCAAAATTCAGAACTAGTCTGAAGGGAAGGTCTACCTCAATCCAAGGAGTTGGATTGTGGAATGGTCTAGAGAGTGATGTGAAAAATGTCAAGTCAATGTGTACATTTAAGAAAAAGATCAAAGCTGAATTGTTAAAAAGTATATATGAAGTAGCTTAGTGTGTTTTTTGTATTAAAATTAGAAAAATTAAAAAGAGTTATTCATTTTGTTCTGTTATTTGAAGATTATTATGATTGACATAATTGTTTGAAAAAGGGTCAGATATAATAAGATTTTTTCTTCTTTCTGTTGCCTGTCATTTTAAATCTCCTGTATTTTTTTATATTGTTATGGAATTGTTTTGTACTTTTTAAAAATGAATAAACTTTATACCATACCATTTGTCATTCTTTTGGTAATACATGAAGAAATAACAGACTGAACCATTGAACCAACTTTTTTTTATTTTATTTTATCTTTATTCAAGCAAATGACAATTATACAAGAAACAAATGAATGGAGTATAAGAACACAACACTTACATGAACAAACAACCAGGGGTGTTAATTAAATAAATTTTTGCAAAGATTTACAGATAGAAATGGTCCTGAGGGCCTTTTTGTTGCTAGAGTTTGTTATAAATTTTACATATAGTTGCACATCCTTAATAAAATGAAGAAAACTTGGTGTTTTGTTAGTAAATTTACATTTGCGAATGTAAAATTTGGCCCAAAAAAATGAGCAAGTTTATTTAAAAGAATAAAATTTAGCATCCTTTCTGGGGAATCTAGAAAAACAAAATAAAACATTTTCCCAACGTATGGAAAAATCCCTTAAAATATGTTTTTTAATAAACTGCTAAACTCCTTCCAAAACCTGACAAAAAAATGCCACAGTTTCTGGAATGTCACCACAAAAACTGCAATTAATATTTATGTCTCTTTCAAATTTTAACATATAATGTTTAGCGGGATCAATTTAATGAAGATTTTTAAGCAATTTGATTCTTAATTAAAAGATGATGTCCAGGTCAAGTGAAAAAATAAAGACGTGTTTATTAAAAAGTTTGTTTG